AGAGATGGTGGCATGTGGTAGATGGTACAGAAAGCTCCAGCAACATTGAAAATGTGCCGTGTCTCCAGTATATGTTGACAGATAGCACTTTTCACCGTCCTAATTTCACCAAGTCTCAACCAGTGGGGCTGGTGTTTGCGTATCCTCGTCGACAGCTGTCTCGTAGTTCGGGCGATATATATATATATATGCAGTATTAAAAAAACGCTTTCGAACTCATTCAGAAACGGTTGGTCATTATGTGCTCCTTTTTTGTATAGATTTTCCAAGGTCTACTGCGCGCCAACAAGTCCCACATTGAGACTCGTACCTCCATGCTACGATTATGGATTCACGAAGGTTTACGCGTTTTCGGAGACCGGCTTGTGAACGACAAAGACCGTGGAGTTTACATCGATCTGGTGGGCGATGCATTGGCAACGCATTTCGATCAAACCTATCACAGTCTCTGTCCGGCTCGCCAGGCGCCAATTTTTGCTGATTTTCTTAATGCAGACACAATCTACGAGGATGTGGTCGAATTAGATCGATTGCGTAAATTTATGACAGACACACTACACGAGTACAACGAGACTCCGGGAACTGTGGCTGTGGATCTGGTCCTATTTCGGGATGCCATTGAACACAGTAAGGAATAAGTGATTTTACTCTGTTTGTCGTGTGATTTCCTATTATTAGTTTTATTATTATTATTATTATAAATTATTTCATTATCCCAACTGTTTGAATACGTAAGAGTGAAGGGTGATTTGGTCCTCCTTTACGGTGAATCTCGTGGTGTACAAAGTAAATGAAGCGTGAACTGAACTACTGAGAATCCCTATATGGCTGTTGCAACATGATTGGATCTCTGCAGCAGAGCGAATCTATCGATCCAACTGAGGGTTACACTCGGGACCTCATGGTCAGAACGCAAACATGCTACCCACTCGGCCACCAGGCAGCTGATCAGACTGCTTTCCAACCTTGCCTTTCGTCATATAAAATTTTTGATTGTCGGTTGCCTGTGGTTGATTGAGCAGTGAATAATCGTGTTTTCGTAAAGAAGCATACTAAGCGAAGGGTAGGAATGTAGAGCACACATCAGAATGTGTATTCAATAGGTCCTGATGAATGAATTTTCGGTTTGTATTCTTCCCAAGTCGATGGAATGATAATTTGATGTCTCGTTATCTCATCGCACAGTTTTCATGTCTATTTGTTCCACATATAGCCTGCAAACTCACACGTGTGATCAATCAACCTCGAGGTAATATGCTACTTGTGGGGATCGGGGGTAGCGGTCGACAAAGCCTCACTCGACTGGCCGCTTATATTTGTGAATTCAAAACATTCCAGGTCGAGGTGACGAAACACTATCGTCGACAGGAATTTCGAGAAGGTGAGCGGCAAGTCGGACTCTCCCGTGCACATCTGAGCCACAATTTGAATTCAACAAAATATCACATTGTTCTTCTATCTCATACACGATTCATGCAAAAAACTGACTGACAGCGGTAGCCTTGATCTGACTGCTCGCTTGTTTGTCTGCAAATTTTAACACGGCAAAATCTGTGAAGAAGCAATTCCCACATTTTTGAATAATTGTTGACTGTGATGATTCCCCTAAAGGGAGAGAACAAAAAGGACAAGTAGTGCAGGGCTAAGAGCAGATTGATTAGCCACAGGTAAGGGGTCCATTGAGAACAGCCGAGAAAAGCTCGTTTCCAACCGCCAGGCGTACGAAATACTTCGGGAAATTCACCGGCCCTATCGGGAGCAGGGTGTTCTTTCCGATAGTAATGATCTTAATACCGTCTCCTCCTTAGATCATTCGAGTTGTAATAGGAGGATTGAAAGTCTTTGACGAATGGTGATCATTCAAGCATCGCTGTGAGACTTCAGTGGTATGTGCGCCTGGCAACTTCAAGATGGTCAGCCTTATATCTTGGCAATAGGTCCGATAACTGGACAGTATGAAATGATGAAGGGACAAATGGTGTATTGTAAAGGGTGTAAGAACTTCCCATCCT